AAGATGGCAGCGGCGTCGATGAAAACGGTCAACCCAAAGAAGCTGTCACCATTCTTGGTTTCGCAAATGTACACGGGAGTCGATACGCACTATTGATCACCATCTGGTATCTCGCCATCACTGTGCTCCAAAAGCCAATGGGCGCTGGCGCAATCGGAATACTGGTTTGGCAGCTGTTTTCGCTTTTCGAAATCATCGATACTAACAACCTCCGTCAATCCGCCATCGGCCCTGTCGTTTTGGGTCTGTTGGGTTCCTTCCACTTTTTCAAAACAGGACACCAGGCTACCTTGTCTAGCATCCAGTGGGAATCCGCCTTCATCCCCCTGGCCAAGATCCGTTACCCTTGGACACCCATCATTGTTCTGCTGAATACATTTGGTGCCCAGATCCTGTGCGCCATTGCTGTCCCAGCGTGCGTGCTTTGGAAAGTCAAGCCGCAGAAGAAGGGCGTTTTGTCCGTCGTGACAAAAGCTGTGGCGACGCACATTTTGTTTTATGCGACGACGCAGCTTGCGACGACCATGTGGGCGGGCCATTTGAGAAGGCATTTGATGCTTTATAGGATCTTCTGTCCGAGGTTCATGGTTGGGGCTGCGGTGCTGCTGACGGTGGATGTTGTGTCTATTGTTATTGCGTTGTGGGGGACTAGGATGAGTATGTTGAGTACGGCTGAGGTCTTTGGTTTTGGTGGATGATTGGTTGGGGAAGAATAGTTGGGAGTGGTTGGAAGTTGGGTCAAGGAGAGAGAGAGGTGGTGTGGGTGGTTGTAGATTTTGCATTGCATATAGCGTCTTCTTTTATCTCCTTGTGTTAGAAGTCAAGAAGCACGTCTAGAATCAGATTTTGTGGCTTCATTCCCTGTGTTTTTCTCACACCATCTCTGGCTGTTGTGGTTCTTGTCTTGGTGTACGTCGTTTACATCCATGCCCTGTACCTGCCGGGCTCAAACGGACCGGACCAGTCGAGATTGGCCCAGCTCTGCGTTGGTCTTTCACCTCTTACTTCTTACTATCCTATCGGCATTTTGTTGCTGCCTAGGTCCTCTCTTACGTCACACGTAGCGGTATCGCAACAGCGCAAGGTAAAGTCAAAGGTAAAAGCAGCCGTTTCCGGTCGCTCTTGCTATTTAATGATCTCTTCTCAGCTTGCTCCCCATCTCTCTTCCACCACACTTCGAAAGTATTGCAGAGCAGGAAATTACTGCCGAACACTAATCGAAAGTCCTCAGGAGCAACCCTCACTCAATAATATACTTATATTCATTCTTGGTCGACACTCTCAGCCATCTCACGAAAGCAGTTAAGACACCACTATGGCGTCCACTCAACATCAACGTGTGGAAGAGAAAGTATATGGTATTCTCGGAAAGGAAGATCTCATCGACGATTCGACCGGCGTCATTCCGATGAGAGGGCCAAAGACCGAACTTAGTCTCAAAGACCGTTTTGCGAGGCGACTTCCGAAGATGTTGGGCGCGGAAACGGATATACAACAAGCAAACAACGACAACACGATAAATATATATCTTACGCGTAGCCGACCGACAAATCAAGTACGCATTAGCCTAAACAACGAACTCCGCAAGTTCGTACAAGCCATGGAAGCTGCATTGGCATCGATTGCGAAAAATGCTGATGGTATGTTGAACCCAAATTCTTGAATGCATCACTAACACGTCCAGGTCCGCAGCATGAACTCCAGATCGCGTGTGACGAACTTTGGGACGTGGTTCTAATCTTCAACCGCAGCAAGATCGAACTGATCATCCAAAGGCTTAAAAAGATCTTTGAAGATTACCAGACAACATACGTCGACCTTGTTGCGAGGATGTTTGGCATCGATGATCTCGAATGCAAACACTACATGCTAGATCGTGAGCTTGGCGATCGGATTATCTCACTCTCGCAACAAATCAACAGCTATGACGGCTCAGTGAAGGAATTGGATACCCTTGTACACACCGCATCAGAGATGACGAGAGTCCTTCTCCATCTACGGGAAAGACTCAGGTCGCTTCTTCAGAGGACACTCTTTGCGGATGGGTTGTACGACCTTATCTGCATGTTGGGATTTCCTGAACGAGTGCACCATACTATGGTAAGGTCGGCTAGGGCCTCAAAAGGATTCGAACATGTAAAATTTCACTTCAGACCTAGCTCTCCGGGCAAGGCTGTCTCCTTTGCGGTCGCAACGGAGAGTTCGATGCAACCAAACGCGGAAAAACCCTTGGTGTCACCTCAACGACAAGAGAAGTTGAAACTCTAGGTGAGACAGGTGGCCGAGGTGTGGAATGCGTAATCGAGGACTCTTGGAGATTCGCCTGACGAGCTTCCGGCGAAGAGCGTCGAGCACTCTTCGTATTCATGGCACAACTGTGCAGCATGCTGGACGCTGTGCGCATGGTAGGTTGGCTTTGGTTTTGGGCATACATGCTGCATTTTGTATTCACGGACGTCAGATGTGGTTCTTTTGCGAGTGCAATTCTTATCGAAAGGCGGTGCGACATATTCTATGGAGTTTGCTTTCTAGGCGAGACAACGGCATGGACATGCTTTTGAGCGATTTTTGTCTGGCTCTGCCACTTTGTGTCTTTTCTCTCTCTCAAAAGTCCGGTTTGCGAATTAGTATGAAGCACTTGGGTCACTTGTGGGACTGGAATCGAAACTGTGGAGGCACGGAGTGTACTGCCTTCCACATATACTGTCTTTCGAACTCTTCCCGATGACTTTGACACCCATAGCCCAATCAAACAAATCTTTTTCCTCCTATTCATGTACCTCCAACTTCCACGCGTCATCATCAGTCCTTACAACGGCGCGGAACACGTGATACTCAAGCCCAAGACAGCATATATAAGCTCCTCTGCTACACCCTACCTTCTTCTCCATCATATATCTACCCACTCAGATATTCCTCTAAAAAGTCTCAAGCTCAGGGAAATGGAGATTGTCTGAAAAGCCGCAAAGCTCCCGGACATGTGTCTCCCAGTCCTTTTCTTTTTCTCCAAAAACATCGATGGAAGAATACACGTGAAGAGCAGAAACTGCATCCGCAGAACACGCATGCCAAGGCGAGCATGAAAGAGAGCCTTGAATCCGATCGAACACAGTGAAAAACAGATTGGCCACGGGCATACTCGGAGGAGACCAAAACACATAGATCAATAGCCATGTCGTCCCTCGATCTCCTCCGATCTTCTTACACCTGGAGGTTGCGACTGTCCTCATCATCTTGCTTCCTTATATGCGAGGCTGACATTACAAAACTAATTACGGGGTACAATGCACATGGCACGCTCTCTCGTGTTCTGCCGCGTCAAAGCTAGGAAGTACGCTACTGTCTTGTTGTTTGGAAGGAGGTCACAGCCATGTCATGCTGTATGAATTTTTTTCGCGCTGTACTGCGATGCAAGTTCCGAGATTCGGCAAAGAAGACTCTCATGTGGCACTTCGGCTGCGCTCGCCTCGTGGTTGGAGCTAGTGCGCATGCTGGGTGTATAAAGCTTCGCTCGAGCGCGTGCGAGGTTCACCATCCTACATACTTGTCTCTTCTCTTCTATCAAAAGCGTTGGAAAATATTCGCATGTCTGAATGCCAGATCATATCAACTCTACATCATGGCGCGCGTCTCCCCCCGGACCAAAACAGTAATCGTACCATTCGATATTGGTTCCAAAGAGATGAGAAAACGTGCCATTCGTGCGCCCACTGAGCCCCAGTAACGACATCGATACAAAATCCAAAAGTAACGGCTGCTGCTCTCATGCACGTTGCGACCGAGTTGTACCTATACGCGACGGCAAGATAAGACGACCCTCGTCTGTACAGTGTAAAAGATTGTTTGAAGATCTTCATCATGTGCTCATTCTTGCTTTCTCAAACTCATGCCGCAGCTGTGACTGACCAAAATGGACTTTGCCGTGATGACATGTTGGGGCTCAAAAGCTGAACACAGATACCGTATGGTTGTGCACGCTCGTCGCTCTTCTCGCGCATTTCCAAAAAAAAGTGATATGACGATGCTATGGTGGATTCGGCGCGTGCCTGTTAAGAAACCAGTCTCTGAGATCGTGTTTGGTGGTTCGGTGTAGTGGCTATTGCTGCCTTGTGTTTTGGCCGCAGGGCGGCTTCAAATTACTTCAAGTTCGTGCTCGCACACCGCTATCCATGGCACGGATTGACGGGTACAAGTGGTATGACAAGACCACCTCGCTCCGCTATTTCCAAAAGAATTTGTTGACCACTGATGTGGTGCTCTTCAGTGGGTGTTGTTGACGCGTGAGGTACGCGCCTGGAGTGGTGATGATCGACATCATGATGTCAAATCTGATGACGTAAAACTCTTAGCGTGGAAGTGACGCGTATCGATCGTTGTTCTCTCATCCATTGTCGAGGCGAGCATCTTCCAACACATTGTTCGTGGTGATGCAGGCTGGTACCTTTCCAGTGTTTGTCACGGTTTCGATGACATCGAGCAACACCTCGGTACATACAACAACGCGAAGCTCCACGTTCTTTGACTCGTCATCCACCTCGAAGCACACTTCCACCAGCTCTCGTCCACTTTCGATACACAGCCCCAGCACTCAGTCACGCCTGCACATGCACGTTTGGTTTTTCATGTGTAGATTCAATCTTTTTGTTCGGCTATGTACACTTACGCTATAACCAACTATGCCACTAACCTTGCTTATATAAACACTTCCACTGTGAAAGAACTCGCATCTATAACCATCGCAAAACATCGACTCGATATCAGAACATCCACGCTATGAACAAAGAGGACTCGCTAGCGAACCGAGACTGAGCCAGAGTAAACACTACAAAGAAAGAATGAAGAGACAACGGCCTGCCGTGTTTGCTCGTAGAACATTCACAAATCATCCAAAAACCGACAATACCTTTGCATTGCCAATACAGGCACCGTCAAAGGTCTGCAATAACCTGCTGACAAACTCCGAATTCATGTGTCAGGCACCGCGCATCTTCCTCTTTAGTTTACTTCTTCTTAGGTTTCTTACCCTTATCTTCCTTTGGGCCGGAGCTTGATGCAGTACTTTTGAGAGATTTCTTACCCTTGTCTTCCTTTACGCTGGAACTCGATGCAGAACTTTCGGTTGGACGCTTCGACGCAGCAACCGTCTTCTGGCTTGCAGGAGTCTTTCCTGCAGTAGTAGTAGTCTTTCCTGCAGTAGTCGGAGCCTTTCCTGCAGTAGTTGGAGCCTTTCCTACAGTGGTGTGGGTTGAGGGGCCTACATGCTGGGCATGCGAGGCTGGGATGGGCTGAGGCGCACCCGTTGAACGAGGTGGCGTATGCGTTGACGCCGCCGAGAAGTCAAAAACATCAGCCATAAAAGCACTGCCGTCACTGGATCCCTTGGAGCTTGTTTTCGACGTGGCACGACTACGTTGTTCGTTCCCAGTGCCGCGATTGGTGGGGGACTGATTTGCAACATGGGGTGAAGTGCCGCTAGAACGGGGTGCTGGAGACTGCTCCCTAGGACTCTTAGGGCTGGATACTGCGGACAGATCATCGTTGTTGGGACGATTAAGTGCCCACGAGTGGGGGGTGGGATTTTTAGCCCAATATTCTCGGTCGTCGCTCGGAGATAGTCCGCGTGTTGGTAGTGGTAGGCTCTTAGTAATGGATGGAGTGCTTGGGGGATTGGAACTACCCGGGTTCTTGGAACTACTCGGGCTCTTGGTGATGGGTGGAGTGCTTGGGGGATTGGAACTACCCGGGCTGTCGTAACCTGGTGGATATGTTTTTACCGTCGGATGATTGTTGGGGTTGGCGACTTTAACTGGACGAGTTGCATAACCTGTCCGATGACCGCGGTAATCGACTGTGATCGATACAAAATTGTTTGGATTCATTCTTAATCCAGGTCGTCTCCTGAGTCGATCCAAAATCCGATCATGATTTTCTTGCTTCCAGGGGATCCTCCGGCCATTAGCCGTCGTGCCCTTTTGATTATCCTCCTCTTTAATTGCCTCCTCCACGTAAGATCTTACAAAGCTTTCCTTGTCGTCTGAGTGCGCCCATGTATTCTGATTAGCAATATCATCGGCCATTCTTTGAAGATACTGCACTCTATTACCCTCTTTGGTATTTTTTCTTTCCCTAGGAATTGCACTGTTGTTTGTCTTTGCTGCCCGTTGCTTTCCTGCAGCCACCGTTTTGCCAGAACGGAGCGTTGAAGACTGCTCGCTAGTGTCTGGGGGTTGAGGTTCAGTATAAATCTCGTCGTTCTTAGAGCGATCGACTGCCCAGTGGTGGGTAGTGAAATCTTGGTTCATCATATCATAGTATTCTTGGTCATTCGTAATAGGTGGTTGTTGAGGCTGCAAGTTGCTTTGTATGTACGGCTGGTGTCGTGCAGCTCCCATTCGAATTCGATTCTCTTCCATGTGCATGCGTGCTGCTTCTTGATTCCTTTCCGCAATCCGGGCTTGCTCTCGTCGCTCAGTACGATCCGCCTCTTCCGTGAGAAAATCGCCTGGATGGTATTCATTTTCTGAAGGAGAAGATTCATGTGCACGATAATTCGGGCTTGAATGAGTAGCCTTGGCTTTTCCCTTCCCTTTTCGCTTATCACTTTCTAGTTCCGAAGCACTGGGACTTTTTGTTTCGGGGCTGCTCATGCCAGAGAAACCAGACCCGCCCTCGCTGTTGTAACCTGGAGGATAACGGTCTAGTATGTCTTCGAGTCTTCTACCCTCTTTAGGATTGATCGTTGTTTGAAAAGTCTTCTTGGCGGTCGAGCCCTGAGCATGTGAATCATCAGACCTACCTGCATTACCAAGATGAGTGCCTTCGTTGAAGGTGCGTTGGAACTCTGGGGGCAGAAGTTCATCTTTGAATAATTTCTGTAGCCCTTTCGCGACATGTTTCAATATATCAAGCCGGTCGGATGCATCCATTCGTTGCAGCGATGCTTCTGAGTGTTGAGCCCGCCTACGCTCAATGATATTTATGGCATAAGGCACATACGCTGCTTCAAAGGCGCTCTGAGCTTCTTTGTAGTTCCATGTGTAAGTTCCGGCAGCGTGTTTGGCTGATCTCTGGGCGTCTGATTTTGTTTGTGTTGCTGTGCGAGATCTGACCGAGGACGTTTGCGGATTTAGAACTAGCCGAAATTTCGACTGCTTTGCTTTCTCGGCGGAGGCCTTCGTTGCTTTAATAGCGGAGAGCTCCGTAGCGGAGGGCTGAGTTACTTGCATAGCAGAGAGCTCCACTGCTTTTATAGCAGAGAGCTTCACATTTTCCTGTTCCTTTGGCGTCCAATATTCCGATTGCGGAGTCACCCGTTCGGCCCGTTCCCATGCTAGGTACTTGTATCTCCAACCTTGAAGTGCTCGTCGTAAGTAAAAGACCACAAATCTCTCCGCGTCATATGCATGGTCCCAGTCTAATTGAGAGGCGACTGTACGTCCAGACTTCCTGTACAATTCTATTGTTGCTTTCGGCAAACCCAAACATTGGTTACAATCCTCTCTTGATAATAATATAGGCTCCCCTTCTATGATATTATTGTTAATGAAGCAAGAATATGGGTCTTTCCCACACTCTGTTATGTTCGGTTCAATCTCATGTCCTTGTTCGCACATGTATGTCTGTTTGAAACACATATTGTTGTGATGTACTGACGTCGAGAGAAGAGACCTTAGATGAGTGTTGATTTGTTGGTTCGGGGCTGGTACGGTTGTTTGACGAACTATCACTCCGTTGTCCCTTGTATCCAAGTATTCGAGTGTTGAGTGTTCGACTGTACACGTGAGATGGTTTTGTTTAGCAAAGTTACTGGCCAGCAGTAGATGGTGGGAGTGATAGTATAACAATCGGTTCAAATGAGGTGTTGTTGTTATCGTTGTCGCTATTCTATGGAAGAAAGTGTTGGACAAATCCAGATATTTATATGTCCTTTGAGAACGTAGAAACTGAAGGTTGGTAAATTTGCGTATGTGACTTGCTCTTGGTCAACGATCTGGCAGTTGACAATCAGCTAGAACATTGACTGCTGTCAAGCGTGAAGCCGTCAAATTTCTGCAAGGGATACACTTAGTTCATTGATGTGTATACATACTTGAAGGTATATGTGCGATCGCGCTGCTTGAAGCGTAGATCTCATTGAATCACCATCTTCGCGTACGGTCAACTGGATGTCGTTCGCAAGTCCTCGACTCATTGCGCTAGCGGATTTCGTGGCTCTTGATGACCATCTCCGCTGTTGTTTGCTCTTGAAAGCTTACCGATAGGGACTTGAGTGACCTACCCACTCTGATGGGCATGCTCATGGTCGTTTCGGTCGTGTAGGGGGTTACGAAGCTTGACCCAGTTACCAGTCACTTCCTTGACTACAGTCCCGTCTGACATAGCGCGTAGCGGTCCTCGCCATCTTTCAAGCAGTGAAGAACATTGATTGAGTGACTATGATAGTTGTGGGCGCAGTGCCGGTGAGTCTGATGGTGGCAATGGTGGTTGCTTCTAGAGAACTGAAACACTCAGCGACTCAGTGACTGAGGCGTCTTAGACACACTCTAGTCGGTAGTCGGTTAGAAGATACAAAACGCGACAATTCGGGTGTATGATTGACCTGAAACCTTGTATAATCAAGCAGCCAGCAAGCGTGTAATAATAACAGCTCAGCTGATTGCTAACAAAACAAGTGCTTACGACGGTTGACGTGGAAGTGGGGTGTTCCTAATAGCCTAGGCAGACGCACCAATAGTGTACTCCTATCAGTGCTGTAGTAAGCTGGCGGTGCGGTGTTGAAAGAGGCAGTGACGAGGGGAAGTGGTGGTAGCGCGGAGTGAGAAAATTGAGGGCAGTCACAGAATGCCTTCTAGCGTCGGAACGTCTCCAAACATCTCACATTTCTACAAGCACACTGCGACAACAGAAGTTGAGCAATGATGGGTTAATACAGTAATGCACGATTACAAGTATACTACTCATCTGCCAATCTGCTCTTGACATTACCATCGCTGCGAAAGCGGCCAACACTCCAAACTCGCAACCGCCCTATCTTTGAAACCATGGGTCAGACCAGGACATCCAAGCGTACTATCGACGTTAGCACATGCTCAAAGTATCTAGAAAAGGACAGAATTACTTATAAAACTTGTTCCCGACACTCAAAACAAACTGCCCACCCTTACATTCGTTTCCCGAGAAAAGGATGCAATAGCCACCTGGATCAGGACCGATCGACTGAGGAAGGGCCCTAGGTGGAGCAAAGGTGATGCATGACGACAAGCCTGGATCAGGAGGGGAGTGCCACTCGCATTGTTCTGTGGCGGTAGGAGTGAAGTTTGGTCCTGGACACGTATACACGCCGCCTGGCCGACCAATCTTGGCGTTGCATAGGGGGGACTGTGGGTTTCCGTAAGTAACTAATTCGACCTTTGCGCGTGTGAATAGCGAGTTTCCAGTAGCTTCGGAAAGGGCAACGTCGTTGATAGGGGGCGTATCGATGGGAGTAGTAGTGGCGATCGCGAAGAAGACGGTGAGCGGCAGTGTTAGCATTTAATCAAATATATAGATGTGAGCCCAGACATCCAGAAACGGGCTTTACTATCTATTTGGTAGTCGGCTCTCTGTAATGGCTGGCGTAGTGGTAGGAAATGGTAGAGAGAACTCATGCAGTCGGCGAACCCTGATATACGCCATTCCTGTGCGACAGTCGTGATGGAAGTAGAAGATGTCAGAGTCTTTACATCATCGACTAGAGTAACTTGAATACTATGATGCATTTCTTCTGTCTATACACATAACTATCACAGAGATGGACGCGGAGGCGGCTTTGAAGTCTTTTAGAGCTGTATGCAACTTGTTAGCTGTTAAAGAACCATCGTATAGTGTGATGACTTACCACTGAGCTATCTTGCATCCTTCTTCACGAGATCGCAATAGAGTCACAGCCAAGGACTTCTTCCTGTAATCACTTCCCTAGAAAGCACTCCTGTGCATTGATATTCTGATATTTGATGACTACGTCCAAGCCAGAACCTAGTCACCGCTTTACTAGTCGCCACTGGCTGAGCTTCAAGCCAGGTCTATTCATCGCTAAGATAGTCTCATTCTCATGACATTTCTCCTAGAAAAGGTTATCTAAACATCTGTTAATCTTTACTCAAAACTTGAACTCCTCATTAGATATGTACAAATCACCTCATCCTCCTGTTTCTATCCAACCCTTTCTTTCTTGCAAGTCTTTGCTCTACCCGCCATCATCAATTTTCATTCTTCACACATTCCATGCTCTTCCACCACTCATTCTTCCCACCCATCTCCGAGATACCCGGACACATAAACGTTTGGAACACCCTCTTCTCCCAAATCTGCAATGGCTCTCCCTTGCAGTCGTTCTCTTTGAACAACATGCAGTAGCCGCCTGGATCGGGACCAATAGAACGGGGCCGTTGGACAATGTCGGCAAAGTCAATACACGATTTCCTTTCGGTGTAGGCCTTGTATTTGCAATTGCCGAGGAATCCTGTACCGAGACAGTATTTGATGCCGCTGTTGTTGTCGATCACTCTGTTTCTACAGTTGTCGCTTTCGGTGATTGGAATGTAGGGGCTTAGTGCAAAAGGAGGGCTTGTAAAAGGCTTGGCTGTGACGAGACTGGCGAAGAAGGTGAGAATGGTGGGAGGGCGCATCGTAGAGTCGTGTTCTAGATTTACTCGTGGCTACTACCAGGACTATGATGCAGATCCTATGGTAATGCGATGTTGGTATCCGTATGTCTTGTTACTTGTGTTCTTATTGGATTGAGATTGCAGATAGTGAGAAGGAAGGAACGAACGTGGAGCTATCTTTAAATACACACCGCGTCGTTTGGATTGTGCAGCGAGTCCACATGCGAAATCCAACGTCAAGTACCGTCGAATCAACGCATTACGTTGGGAGATCATGTTCGATGTGATTTGTTAGACTACCCGGATCGTTTGAACGTAACCGCCTTCAATGTGAAGACGAGGGAAAGCTTAGTGCGACCCACGCACTTCACTAATCACAAGGAGGCAACTTCGAAAGGCATGGATGAAACACAGCCAAGAGTTACACATGTTTGCGATGTTTGTTATCTCATACTCTAACATGCATCGCGTCCATCCATCTGCTCATTGTCTTCACTTCAGAGTGAAGATAGTAAGGAGATACATTACGTGATGGTGGGAGACTTGATGTGCCAGAGCAGTCCCCATGTGTGATTCATATTGTAGTGGAAAAGAAACAAGAACAAAAAGCTTGTACTTGACTCATATTTGAGCGGCAAACGTCATTCACATCGTACGTCAATACCAGAACCCCCATTTGTAAAATAAAACACCATATACCACCACCCCCTCATTTCAACCGACACTTCATACTAACCCACCACTCAGGCGTCCCCGAATCACTGATACCCGGACACTCCAACCTCTTATCACTTATCCCCTTCCAAATCTGCACCGCCTCTCCTCGACACCCCTCCTCCTTGAACAACTCACATCACCCACTCGGATCCGGCCCAATAGACCGCGGCCGCTCCTCTACATTTCCGAAGCTGTAGCACCAGTCCGAACCAGGCGTTGTTGGGTAGGCGCGCCACCCGCAGTTGCCCATGTAGTTGTAGCCGTTGCAGAAGAAGACGCCGCCGTTTTCTGTGATGGTGGATTGGCAGTTTTGGGGACTGTAGGGGCTTGTGGCGTAGGGGAGGGTGGTGGTGAGGGTGGTGGGCAGAGCTGAGAGGGTGAGGGTAAGGGGGGTGAGTGGTAGCATTCCGAGGAGTGTACTGTGATAGATACGTGTCAATGCGGTAAGCTAGACTTGTAGTTGCGCGATGGGTAGTAAAGTAAGAAGGAGGGCAATAATACGGATGAGCAATTTATGTGGGCGTAACGTTGCATATGCTGTACAGCAATGTGGTATGTATGAATGGCTGCACGGAAAGAAAAATCGTATGAATATGCTTCGGTTTGCCGTAATGTAGAGACATTGTAAAGCCATAGTCGACATGTAATGGCACGCTTCAACCCCCGCTTGACAATATTGCTCAACGTAGACCTTGGTATGAGAAGAGTACATCCGCAAATGAACAAATGGGATCTTTGTATTACCAAGAAGACTTTTCTCGAACATAGGAGCAAAAAGCCGAAGCTAAGAAGGGACTATGCACAGCAACAACAGCAACAAGGAAGACGGAAGAATAGACCCAACACACATACAGACACACACACCTCCCATCCCAAATCCCCGTTGTGCCTGCGAACGTCGCTAAATCACACCCACACACACCAACCAACATCTCCAATTACCCACCAAAAACAACCATTTCAATACGGCGCCTTCGAAATACCACTTCCAACACTCTCCAAATCATCTTCATCATCCTCAACCCCAATACTATCCAAGAAGCCCGTAAAATCCGGTTTACTACTCGACAAGCCAGTCCCCCTTCTACGATCCCCACTCCTACCTCTGCTCACTCCACTCTTGACACTCCTACTCTTCTTCACCGCACCATTAGGCGCCGTCTTCGGTCTCGCAAAATCCCTAGCCTCGCTCTGCCCGTTGAGCAGATCCTCGGGAATAGGCGGCACAGGCGGCAAATTATCCATCGTATACGTACTTTCCCTTCCCCCTCCTCCTGCTGCTGCTGTCCCAAAGTTCATGGAAGTAGCTGTTGTCGGCCTGGGCGTAGAAGTAGCAGCCGGCGTAGTAGGCGATTCTGGATTCTGCACACCACCACTCTGCTGCTGCTCCTCCTTCGCCGGACCCGTAGTAATAAACGACGCGTCGGACAGAGAATGTACACTGACCATGGAATCACTTGTTGAGGAAGCGTCGTGGTCACTCAGACTCTTTCTTGCCCGATGGCTCGGTGCGCGGTGAGAATATCCCGTCCTCGGCGCCCCACCATGACTTGTACTCAATGCCCGTCGCAAATCATCAACCCTGACTGTAGACCGCAGACTCGACGAAGAATTTGGTGTGTTGCCACCCGGACTTCTGCTCCGATTCGGACTCGACAATCGACCTACAAGCCCGTATGCTGCCGACGGCGGACGACTGTGCGCACGTCGTGGCGATTGAGCAGGCGAGCTACCATTGCTACTATCCAGGTTCTCATTTTGTACATTGACGCCGAGGAAGTTGTTCTTCTGTGTCGCGGCGGTGTAATGCGTGCCTGTTTTCGATCCTGATATGGAAGCAGATGACGAGTCTTTTGTGTGGGATGATAGACAGCCGTCTCTCGTCCAGTCCGAGAGGAGGTCTTCTCGGACTTTGAATGGGAGTTCAGGTGGGCCTTGGTGGCTTGGAGGTTGCTGCACAGGTTGATGGATAGTAGGGATAGACGCATTGGCTCCGCGGCCAGGTGAGCCAGGGGGCGAAGAAGGCGGCGAGTATAGGGAAGTCGAGTAACCTTCCGATATCTTTTCGACCAAAGCTTCCCTGTTGTCAAATGGTTTCAGAGCTTCGTTCTCGACAATCTCTGCTGGTACAGCGACAGGTGTCGCATGAGGTGTTTCTATGAGCTCAATGGGCATGGGCGGGACGCGTATGCTCTTCATCCACAGACCCTTGCTGCTTCTACGCGAGATTTCGTTGTGCAGGGCACGTCCGACAGAGGAGACCTCGAAGTCCAGGGCTATGCTGAGCGCCCAGAGGTAGCCATGTACCAAGCTGCCCAAGCGCAGTTTAGCACCTGGGTCTTTGATAGTTACGATATCTTCTTGTAGTCGCATGATCATTGGCAGTCCACTCCTCGCTGCGTTTACTCCGAGTCTATTGACTAGAGTGGTGAGCAGCAAGTGCAGAAGCAGATAGTCGGCCTCAGAATCGACGTAGTGAAGCGCGTTCTCATAGACAGCTAGATGAAGCAGGGGCAAGAACGTGTCCCTACCACGTTTCGATACTCTTTCCCTGTTCGATGCATTCGAGACTGCACGTCTAGCCAACGCATTCTTATCGTTCTCCTTCTCCTTCCGCCTGTAGTTATCCACAATCTTCAGATCTTCCTTGTTCTTCTCCGTATTAAGCCACGTAATCAGCGCGTCGACGTAGGCTTTCCTGACCTGGCCGCTTGGATCGCGCAGAAGCCATTGAGTGCCTTCCCAGACACTCACACCGACTTTGCTCCGCGACACAGATGCAGTTGAGCCGTCTGGTCTCCGTGCGTTTGCTGTCTTGATAATGGCTTTGACCGCATCGAGAGCAGTGATACGTGCCGTTTCGAAAGAGAAGAAGCGGTCTACATGCGTCTTTTCCTGCATGCTGATCGAATCCGCAACGGCGTCTATAGCGCCTTCGGGGTTCTGTATTGCTTCAGTGGTGGAGGAAACACTCAAGAGACGTGATGGCTTGAGGCGGCTCAGGATCGCTTCCACCATGTCAGAAATCTGATCTGTATAGTACACATGTGTTGCGAGATCCGCCATGCATCTCTGTACGGTATCCAGAAGTTGTAGCCTCACGTTAGAGGGCTTCTTGACGACCTCCGTGACTACAGCGTCCAAATTAGTCGTCGAAGATTGGTTGCTAGGGTCTTTTTCTCCCACAACAGATGTTGTCTGCTGGTGATGCGGTACAATGTTCGATCCTGGCCCACCAAGCTGAAGGAGTAGCAATGAGTGAGAGATGAGTCCGACCAGAACATCCATGACACTGAGTCCGATGAAGTTGATTGTCGAGGCTAGAAGATAGTCGATGATAGTCGCCAGAACCAGCTGTTGTTCGAGGTCGTCTTCCACGATTGGACTGCGAACCAGGGCTTCCACTGCGCCTACCAGGATTGTGTATCGGTCCTGTACAGGGACCCATGCGCAGATCAAAGCCATGAGAGTAGTCGCCCAATGGCTGCTTTCGCTTGGGGTAGCCTCCTGTGAGCTCTTGACATGTGATGCGATAAACTTGAGCACTGCTGAGGTCGCAAGCCGAAGTTGCCCTCGATTTACACCCTGGAATATGCTCCTCAGCGCCTGAAGCGCAAGTACTCCAACCTCCTCTTCTGCAAGCTTATCCGCATCCTCGGTCGTTCCGGATGCCGCGATCGGGTCGCCGTCTTCATCGTCGGTCCGTGCAGTGGATACACTCTGCCGCCGCCGTAATGCCAGCTCCTTGTCGTGTTCGCCCTTGGTGGCTTCCCGTGCTTCCAACCTCTTGAGGTATGCACCACTCTCTGAATGTATGTTGACGAGTATGACTGGTATGACGGCGCCCAATTGACGCCCTGTCTCGGACCCTAATGACTCAGACGAGGCAATCGCCTTCAGGGCCTGGAGTCCAGCCTTGCGGTATCTGACTGCAACGGGCCAGCTGACTGGTGCCTTGCCCGTCTTGACAGTCTCCTTGGACGCGAACTGAGCGTACAACTGCACAATCTCCTCGTACTTCTTGATATAGTCCTGGTCGGCTGCGAGGGCGGCGGGATCCTGATGCGCGCATAGAGCTTCGAACGTCGGCACTGATTCCTCCACCATGGTAACGTCGTTTGAGTTGAGAATGGTTCGCAGGATGTGCAGTACGGCACTCGCATAGAGGGGAAGATCGCGCGGGCATTTCTCAATCAGCGCCCTGACAATCTGCAGCGTAACCTGCACATTGCCTGTCCTGACTTTCCACACATCCTTGGTCGCCCTCTTGTCTAGGAAGTCGACCACCTTTTGCAGCTTACTGCGGCGAGTGCTCGCGTAGAAGAGCAGATAGCTGAGCTCGCTCGAATTGGCCTTTGCTTCGGCATCGCTCTTCTGGACTTTTGGGTAGCATTTGAGGACCAGGACCTGGTGCTTGGGGCGACACGCCTGGCGCGCTGCGTTCATTGAAGCTCAGAGCGGTGACGTTGCGGATTCGAGAAGAGGTAAGCGTTGCGCGGCGGCGGCGGCGGCGGCGATGCGATGACGAACAGCGGGGGAGGGTGAGTCGTGGGTTTTTAGGATAGCAGGGAGATGGAATGGGCGGGAGATTCAGGGTCGCTGCATTATTCGGGCTTCGCTTCCTTGACTAGCACAGGTGCATGCATGTGCAAACGGACGGTCGCGGAGAAAGGAGAGTAAGTTAGTCTAGGGTCTGGGTGTGGATAAACATGTTCGGCCGTATCCATGTCCGACGACCCAGAGATGTGGTCACTGCCCAACGTCGCCCGCCAAGCCCCAACAACACCAAAAGATAGCCGCGGTTTGGTGAAACCGCCATATTGCTTCTAGGCTACATTTACTTGTACTTCCCCTCAAATTCGGCCTTTTGCTTCTCTCTGGCAGCCTTCTTTTGCTCATTCAGATCGCGGCCTATGCGCCCGCGACCTTCCCAGTGCATCTTACGTTGCGACTCATCGTTCAACTCTCTTCTAACTCTAGCCCTACTTTGTCGTAACGCCGGATCTGGCGTCATGAACCCGTCCGTCTCCGCATCCCTCTTGAGATACTTGGTCTCTTCGCCACCGTACGTGACCTTCCCACCCTTTCCATATTTTGCCCGAGCCTGCTCTTTCGGCAAGCCCGTGTTGGTCGAGTAAGCATTCATCCCGGATTCTCTCAACTTCCCGCGCATTATCTTTGGCAGCATGGCTTGTTTGCCTTGCTTGACGGAGTGCGCAACCGCACCCTTGATTTTGAATATCCGGTTGTTGAGCCCTTCATGACCAGGCGCGTCTGGGTTTCCAGCCACCCATTGCACTGAGCGTCCGTCACTCACAGGTTCAATTACATAGGCTGTGCCTTTAGGCATTCCCTTCATGATAAAGTCTGGTCGCAGATGTGGGAAATGCGAGTGCATCCATTGCCAGCGGCGAGGATTTGCTGCCATGATCCTTTCCTCTTTTAGCAGCGGTCTGCCTTGTAAGCGGAGGCGAAACTCTACAGGGCAGCCATGCTCGAGGAATTGGTATGCGCGATCCAATGATAGCCTGTAGAATTCGGTTGGACTGGACTCGTTCAAGATGATGTTTTTGAGCCCTCCAATATTCTTGCCCTTCTTAGTTTTGGGTTTCGTGAACGTGTGTGCTTTGGTGATGGAGAATTCCCTCAAGTTTTCTGGTACACTCATGCTCGCCTCGCCCTGGTCCTCATTGTCCAAATATCCTTGCGCCATCCCTTTCTTCAGCGCATCCATACACCAGAGCATTTCTCCATCTTTGACATGGTTGTCGTACAGCTCTTGTAATGAGATGTTGTCCGCTATCAAGCCCTCCTTTGCGCCCTTCTTGGTCGTCTCCCAGAATCTGACCTTGTGTGACAGGTCTTCCAACCGCGGGTATTCATACGGAGTGAACGTTAGCACCTTGTGTTGGCCGAGGACTGTCTTGGCCTTGGCCGTTTTGTACAGGTTGAGCGCACGGCGTTGCTCAAGGCGTTGGGTGGGACATGCAGAGCGCGGGACGTGAGAGGCGCATTGCGGGCGGTATAATGTCTGGAGAGCGCGTATCGGTACTCGTACCGGTGGTAGAAGGAGCGATCGAAATTCAACAGTCGGTATCCGTATCTTTGGTGGCATGGTGACGCGATGAAAGGAAGCGTGGACCCTGTGCGAGACTGAAAGTTCCGATCTTGACTCAGGTTTCCCACTTATCCTTGCATTCATGACGTCGCGTAGCGAAACAGATGATTCGCAGTAACCATCACTTGGCATTCAGGGCAAGAACACTCATGCAAGGAGCTTGACTGCTTCATCACTACTTCTACATTGGTTTCAAGATGGTTGTACAAGGCTACATGTGCATTACGAGGCCGCACCTACGATACTCATCCGCCTACGTCCGCATTGGCACCAAAAAGCTTGCAGCCGTCTCGTCACTACCTGTATACTGCATCTGAGACCCAGATGGGAACGCAGCTTCCCAATCGATTCCTAGACCGAATGGATTGTATGACGGGTAGTTCCAGGAGCCCCAATCGATCGTAGGCTCGGGAATGAACGACGGAGCATCTGGCTCGACAATCGGAGTAGGCTCGGGTAGAGGCGGGGCATGGGGCGCACTACTTATAGAAATGACGCTACTACGTCGCGTGGGATTGAAAGATGTCGGTTGCGCTTGATTCAGCAGATCTTGCTCGCAACGGCGCACGATTTGGGCCACGCGCTGCATAATCTCTCGCTCGACAGGACTAGGTACTTGTCCGGCCTCGACAAGCAGTTCTTGATGTACGCGATGCAGAAGATCTCTGCGGAAGCGTCGCGATGTTTCGCTTGGTGAATCGCAATCGTAGACTGATACATATTAGCAGATTACAGCTACACGTCACAGTAAGACGACATACATGGACTGGGTATCTCAGCGTCAGCCACATCTGGAAAGAGGACCTGATATACGTCTCTCCACTTGTCCTCCTCTAGCATATACGCAGGGGTGCGCTTCTTCAGGGTCCGAATAGTCTCACGGTCGATTCCTTCAATTTCCCGAGGCGGTGAATTCTCGCACTGTCGCAGACGTACGTGAGTTGATTGCGCCTTGTCTGAAGTGAAGGTCTCGTAGCAGATTGGACAGAATATCGGCTGGGAATGTGATCGATAGAGGTGTTCTTTCATCCGATGGACGGATGGCCAACCAGGTCCAGGACAAGTGCGCCTGTTGCGATACCTGTCCGGTTCATGTTTGTAGAACGGACACGCAAACTTTGCTCCAGTCTCAGAATCGTCGGTGGTAGTTGCCGTGGAGCCCCGGCGTCGCTTGTTTGAACCATCGTCGTCATCGTCCTCTGGTGGCGGACTGCCTTCTGAACGGGACTTGCGTTTGGTTCCTGAGCTCACTGATGTTTTACGACTGCTCTGGCTTGAAGAGAGTGTGCCTCTACCTTGGGTGTGAGCGGCTTTACTTCCTGCACATTGCTTGTAAGCCGCGTTGCGGAGGTTGATCTCGACTTTGCGTAAGATAAGGTCAATAATCTTCTGGGTGGAAGTCGGAAAACGCCGTATAGCCTTCACATTATGATCCATCTCGTCGTCACTAAAGTCGGTGTTGGTATGCATGTCGCAACTGCTCGTGGATGAGATGGAAACGATAGATGTTACTCGTTCCCTAGGGCGCTTGCTGGATGGGAGATTGTCGTTGATCCACCGCTCTATATCTTCATCGTCCGACGAAGGCCTATCTTTAGGGATATCCTTACGTGGAAAGTCAAGCAAAGTCCCGACAGATCCTATTTTTGGAGTCTCTGGAGATGTAGATTGGAGGAATGCCTGACTGGTGATGAGTTCTGCAGGGTTGCTAGTGACGCAGTTCTGGCTAGCCAACCAAGGCCTATCGACGTAGCATTTCTTAGGAAAGGTAGCTTTGTTGTTGACAAGAATGCTCGGCACAGGTGGAAGGGGTGCGAAAAGAATGCCTGCTGCATCGTTAGCGATCTGAGCTTCTGCCAGGACTTGTAGTAGGATGTACCCTGATCCAACGTCCCCGCTTCCAAGGGCGAGAGGGAATCAGGATTGCTGTTATAACCCGAATCACGCGTCCTGGAGGAAGACAGCGAATCCCTTCTACATGTCCGCTTGGTTGTGCTCAGTCTTGGTAAGCCGACTTGCGCATGGCTATTTGATACCATGGCGAACATTGCGCAAATTGGTAAAAGAAGTCTACGGCAAGTGCTCGTACTCGCAGTACAGAGAGTAAGATGTTTTGTGAGCAAGAGAACACGGCAACGGTTTCGGGGACATGACGGCGTTCTTGAAGGATGCCTGAAAGGCTGTCACAAGCTTTCAGATGCACTGCGCGAATGCGCAAACGTGGGAACAGAAGCTGACATTTTCCGTCCATCCGTCATCAACCGGTGTCCAGGCACGGGAGGGCTGCGTACCAATCGTCGCAATCCATGATGCGTCGGGACAACGGCGTTGCGGCAGATACGGCATGACCATCAGGGCGTAGGTGGCTGAGCAGTATTGATGAGTGAGGTGGTCGTAGCACGAACTCGGACCGGGTGGAATGCACCAATGAGACACATCGTGGGCGGGCACTACAAGGCAAGTGGAATGTGGGGTTGCGACGTTGTCAACCTCAGCTGCACCTTGTTCATCTCTTCGACTTGTTTGTGCTTGTAACAACTTTGGGTTGGATGCGAGTGGCTGACGGGGCGATGCCAACTCGCTCAGGGCGTCTAGACCGGGAACGACTCCACATCCGACAAAAAAAAACGAGCAATCCACGCACGATGCCATCCACCACAACCACGGCAACGCAACCAGACCTTGACGAACGCAAAAAGTTGGACTTGCAGGGAATCGAACCCTGGACCACTCCCATGCTAAGGGAGTATTATACCACTAAACCACAAGCCCGATTTTCCTCTTTTGGAGATCTGTGAGAACTTGATGACTAATTGGGCTTCCAGAGGCTTTATATCTTGATGTTTTGCCCCCGATTCATCACTCCTAGCAGGTTTCAATTTAGACTCGAGAAGTGTTTGCTTGGAACCAGTACTTGCGACTAGCCGAGAAGGGTTGTCAATTAGCGTCCGCTAGTATTCGTATGCGGCATGTTTGAGGAAGCCTTGGTCCAACGTTGTCGTTAGAAGCCGAGGATGTTTCGGGGCATGTTCGTTGGTATCAAGCCGTTGCTTGCGGATATACGGAACCTGTCAGTCATACTCGGAGGCATACGATATGGGAGGTTGGTCGGACGACGCTGATGATGGAGACAGTCGTTGGGAAGTACCTGGAAGCTCAATCAGGCTTAGCATCACGTGTAAGCACAGCACCAAGCTATCCTCAACAACAACAAACACAGGGCATGACAAGGTCATTGCCATGTCTGTAGAGCGAAAGGCCGCGAAATTGACCGAACTCTGGAGTCGCGCAGACAACAAGTTTGGGCCAGACTTGGGCCTCGGAAACTAATGTCGGGACGATGCAGTGGCAGTGACATGCGTGGGTCTTCCCAGCGGGAATGACTCGCGTCAACAGATGTTGTTGTGAGAGCAACACCATCACAAGACGCCTATCGCCCTTTAGACGAGCTTGAGAGCTGGCTGAGGATCCTGGGACGTGTGGCTCGATACAGTGATAGTTTGCCGTAAACATGTCGAGAAAAAGAAGTGCTTGAAGAATGCAGGACTGGGGTAGGGTTGCACAGTTATGACGCTCGCGGCACGCGAAACACGTGCGCCCAAGATTCCTGGGCATTGGCTGCGCGACGCTCCCCACCAGCTAGACCCAGCTTCATTGCTTCATTCTCCATAATCTGCAATCCTGCATGCAGAGCTTTCCGGCACCGGCAGTTCCTATATCTTAGCTATTGCTACTGCAGGTTGCAATTGCTTGGTGCTTCCACTTTTCTAAGCCATGAAGTTCGGTACGACACTGCGCAAGAGCGTGTATGCGCCATGGAAGGACAAATACATCGACTACGACAAGCTCAAGAAGCTGTTGAAAGACAACGAGGACGACGATTCCTGGACTGCCGACGACGAGAGCGCGTTTGTTGATGAGCTGGCCAACGTGCAACTGGAAAAGGTGCACAACTTCATCACCGACATCTCGCAGAAGCTGCGCGACCGGACCACGGCCTGCGAGAAGAAGCTGGAACCATTGGCCATAGGGATCCAGGCGGAAGACAAGGAGGACGGCAAGGGAGACAAGGAGAACAAGGACGGCAAGGGCGAGGGCTTGCTGGGCGACGCGTCGGGCGATGCGTCCAAGAAGCCGGAGCCCAGCCAGCAGGAGAGGGAGAAGATACTGAAGGAAGTTTTGCGCGAGCTGGACAACATCACAAAAGAGACCAAGGAGCTGGAGAGCTTCAGCAGGGTCAACTTCACGGCTGTCATCAAGGCTACCAAGAAGCACGACAAGCTCCGCGGCAGCTCCTATCGCCTGCGGCCCTTCATCGATGCGCGCATTGCTCGCCACCCTCTCCACACCGAGGATGCCTCGCCGCTGCTGTACAGGCTGTCGGCGCTGTACTCTTTCGTCCGACAGAGCCTGGAGGGCAAGTCCAAAGAGGCTCTCTCCTTTGCCGAGAGCAGCACCGACGGCGAGGGCTTCACCTCACACAAGTGTACGACACGAGCCCTCTCATTTGCAACTACCTGCTGACACGAAACAGTCTGGGTCCACATGGACAACCTCTTTGAAGTCAAGACCGTCATCCTCCGCCGTCTTCCCGTCCTCGTCTACAACCCCCAATCAGCCAAGGTTGCTGAAGGCACTCAGCGCGACCCTACAATCACATCCATCTACTTCGACAACCCCAACTTCTCCCTCTATTCGGACAAGGTCAACGGCAAGCCCGATGCCTCTTCGCTACGCCTCCGGTGGTACGGCCAACTTGGCGAGAAGCCCGAGATCATGTTCGAGAAGAAGGTCATCAAGGAGGGCAACGCCGCTGAGGAGGTGCGCTTCCCCATCAAGGCCAAATACGTGCAGGCTTTCCTCGAGGATAGGTACCACATGGAGAAGAGCATCGACAAGATGACCTATCGCCCCAACAAGAACCAGGAGGAGATTGACAAGTTCAAGAAGGCTGTTGGAGATATCCAGGGCTTCGTCAAGGAACAAAAGCTGCAGCC